GTGCCCAGCTACCACCACTGACTGCTGTGACTGGGATCACAACAGAGGGTTCTGGACAGAGCTGGAGAAGGATGTAGAACAAAATTCTAACACACAAACACAGAAGACCAGATTTACTGGCCTGAAAGAGACAGGAGAAACCCCAAGAGTATGGTCCCTGGACACCCTTTTAGGTCAGTGGTGAAGTCACTCCCAAGGTTCACCGTTCAGCCGGGGACTGGACAGCCCCATGTAACAAAATGGGACTAATGAGGCACAGCCGTCCAGGGAAAAGGACTAGAAGGCTAAAGGGGACGGGAAAGCTGGTGATAGAGAACCCAAGGCTGAGTAAGGACAGTGTTGACATGTAGTGGGGTTCTTAACCATTGTCATATGGTAACGTGTACTGTTTAATGAGAAACTATTTTGTTCTGTAAACGTTCATCTAAAGTGAGAATAGCAGCACAACTGGAAGAACATAATTGATGTCAATGAATTGTGCATGTAGAAATTTTTGAAATGGTGTATCTTTGGCCATGTATATTTTCACCAAAAAAAAAAAAAAAAAGGTCGAGAAGGTAGTGTTGACATGTCATGGGGTTAATAACCAATGTCATAAAACAATATGTGTACTGACTGTTTAATGAGAAACGATTTGTTCTGTAAACCTTCACCTAAAGTACAATTAAAAAAAAAAAAAGAGTAATCAGATTAGACTTTAGAGAGAAACGAGAGTAAGAGAAAACTGAGGCAGAAGAGCAGGGAGATTTCTGAGATACTTTTCTATGCTTACCCATGATTGCAAATCTCCATTCTGGAACTAAAGGTACATCCAAGGGAAGCTCATGGCTTCCTATATGAACTCTGCTTTTGAATGGGGAAACTCAATAGTTTTCTATAACCAAATATTTTATGCTTTTTTCTAGAAGCAGTTTTCTGGCTATCTTCCTTTTTCTTTTGTTTCCACAGTCCTAAATCCTATTCCAAAGAGAAGATGCCAACCATTCACAAAAATTTGGCACTTAAGAGACTGATAATCCATCCAGAGCCATAAAAATAAAATTCAGAAATTCATTGTGGAATTAAAGCACGTCATTATATTAGAATGATTTTTCTTTTATGGTTGAAAATAAATATTAACAATTGGTTCTGTGAGATGAAATATACTAAGCACTTTATAAGTCTATGAGAAGAAATAGTTCATTATAAGGAAAGTATTTTCTCACCATTTATGAGTCTCTGTCAGTGAATTCTCCTCTGCCTCTTGGTCAATTTTAGCTGAAAATACAAGAAATAGAAGGATATACGAAATAAACGACAAATAGTTGTACTACTTCAAGCAAAATATAACCCAAATAATAAAATTTTTAAATATTCATTATTAATTTTAAGGTATATGGAGAAAATACTGATCTATCCTTAAACATCTGCATATAATTGATAATTCTACTGTACTCCAGCCAGTTCATTTTAAATCTACGAATGTTATAGATACATCACTGAAAAATTATATTTAATTTTTATTACGTTAATACTTTTAAATTGACACAGATAAGCTATATTACATAACCAACCAAAATTTTCAGATTCTAAGTAATTTCTTTAAATCATTCACATTAATCTGAAAAAACAAAACACTAGCAAATTTTATATTTACATAGAATGTGTTTGTCAAGGAATGAAAGAAGCTCTAATAATTAAATAGTTGAAAATAATTCACTCAATTCAAAGTACAAAAACCAAGTCAAAAAGTTAACCAGAAATAGTATGTGGCCTCTTCAGCTATGGCCAGAATTTTGACCTCTTCAACAATGCTCTCTCTCTGTACCATACTACAAGAGAGCAGATCCAGAGGTTATTTCTACAGAGGTGCAAGATGTAATACTAACGTATTTGACTAGCTGAAAGGGGAGATGAGAGTGTATTCACTTACTGGCTATACTCTGTCTAAACATAAAGAATAATAACCTGACACAAACTAAAAGATAAAATTTGGAAAGGAGATTACATTAACTTTTTCACATTGTTTAAAATAACAGGAATTTCATCATAAAAAATAAATATAGTGGTGACTTTCAAACTTTTTTGACCGGTAAGCATCCTAGTACTTTGTGTATTACCCTATGCACTTATTCTATCTCTTTCTCTCTCTGTCTCACACACACACAGAGCACAAGTTTCAAGAATACTCTTACTTCATACAATTGCTGTATTTAGTCTATTAGGTTTTTTTAAAATGTTAGTTGTGAATCACTAAATTGATTTCATGCCCCAATAAAGGTTTGTGACCCACAGTTTGAAAACCACTGAGTTACAGGACAAAAAGCAAAAATTAAAAAAATTTGAGGACTAGTGAAAGAAAAAAAGCTGATTTTTTATAATCTTTCCCCTCTGCGTCACACTTATGGCCACTTGGAGAAACTAGAAGAAAAAGTGAAGCCGAGAAAACTGATTACAAAAAACTAGAAGTATGCACAAAATAAAACCCATCGTCACTTGGGAACTGTCAAAGTGTCTCTATCACTACTTAAAACACAATAGTACATCTTGGGTTGCTTAAAGTTTTACAACCTCAAGACAGTGTTTTTCAAGGGTCTGTACAGTATCTGCAAAGTCATAACCAAATGTCATGCTGCCACTTTTTGCCAGGATCGCCAGAATTTAACAGAATCATTTGAGCTGGCAGAGAGGGAAGGTTTTTTTTCTCCTCCCCTCCTCTCCGTTTTTTGGACTTTAGATTGTTTACATAAACTTACAGGTCAATTGTTTGCCATATTAAAAGACAGAATAAATGTTCCATGAGTTTTCTTTGAAAAGAATCCAGCATGAACATATTGTCTTATAAAAATTTGCTCTGGGCTGCCTAGCATAAAAGTGATTTACTTTCAGAAGCAATTGTAGAAACACGTAAAGTTTGTTTAAGCAAAAACAAAAAAGCACTATAGTGCATACCATTTTCAGTAAAGACATTCTTATAATTGCTCTCACGTCTTTTTTTTTTAAAAAAAAATACAGAGATTCAGATGGAGATTTGAAGAAGAATTTCTAGACTGTTTTAGAAGAATCACATAAATGATTTAAGAAATTTAAACACACCAGATTGAGGTGCCAGAGATCTGGGTTCCTTTTCTGATCGTACAACTAAAATTTACTATATGACCTTTCATACGTGTTAACATACACAAAATACTTAGTATACTTACTTACTAATACTTAATACTTAGTAATACTTACTAATACAAAAGTTAGTAGTCACTAGATAAATGTTGTAATCCCTGGGAGACACTAACGGTTAAGGCCTCAACCACCAGCTGAAAGGTTGGAGGTGTGAACCTACCCAGAGGCATCTCAGAAGATAGGCCTGATGATCTGCTTCTGAAAGTCCACAGCCTTGAAAACCCTACTGAGTGCAGTTCTACTCTGCACACATGGGGTCGCCATGAGTCAGAATCAACTTGACAGCAACTAACAACAAAGATAAATGTTATTGTCCCTTGAAAATGTTGGACTCGAAGCTCTTGAAAATTTTAGGGTTATAGAATTTGTAACTGTAATTTTAATTGAACAAGTCAACTGCTATTTTATTATGCTTCAACAATATATACAGATAAAGAAAGGGCACAGTTACAGCTTTTGGGAAAGCAAAGCCCCTAAATTGTCATGAGTGGCAAAAAGTGAATTTCATGTGTTCGTAATGATTCCTTTTGATGTGCACTATAAGAGGTCTTGCTTCATTGCATAAGCAAGTTTGATAGAACACTTTACTACAAGGTGGTGGTAGAGCAGTTCTTACAAAGCAACAAGACATAAAAAGAGACCTTACCAAGCCTTGTAGCCATACTACAATCATAAAATCAAACAGGAGTAGCAGAGAATATTATAAAAATGCTATATTATCCATTATTGTTTCATGATTTTGAAGCTAAGGGGATTAGTGTATTCAAACCATAATCAGCCTTGATAAACAGTTAAATGAGAGATCAAAGAAACCGCATTAAAGTACACATTTCAATTCTTAATGTAGAGTCAACAACTGAATGACCAGAACAGATTTCCCTTTGTGTGGCAATCTTAGAACTTCTGAAAAGTTGGGGTGCAGTTCTGTTTACTGGGGACACTGAGACATCACTTTCCAGCACGCTGCTTTTATAATGTATCGTCACCTTTCTGTGGTCATAATTCTTTTAAACAAAGTTTCGATATTAACCTAGTGATAAAATGCAGGATTAGTTGCTTTTGCTAAAGCCCTCATTTAAAAGCTGCTTTTGTGAGGATATATCTACCAAACTAAAATGAAGATGTAATTAGTGAAAATTGAGATATCTTTTAGGCATAAAATAAGAACAACTCAGCTGTTCATTTAGGGAGCAGCCAAGCTATCATATGCTGTGACCAGACTCTAAGACCAACTGTGTTTCTTCAGTTTGAATAACAGTTGTGACAGACTGCCACCAGTGTTCTATGCATAGGCTTTCATGCATGGCTTTGCTGAAAATGACAGAAAATTAAGTAATTTTCTATATAATGTCAACATCTTATTGTTAAGTATTTTATTCCCTGGCCTATTTTTCAGAAATATAAAAATTATTTTCAGTCAATTTCTAACGGTGTAGGTGGTCTTCTGTTACTTTTAGCAGCAGTTCCCTACAATGGACTTTAAAATAATGTATGCTAAGTTAAAAATGTTCTCCTTCAAGTATGATTAATTATCCTTTCTGTATAATACATAGTTCATTTTTAAAAAAATAACAATGGCACCCTTCTAATCATTCATCATAAAGATAACCATAGAAAGTCTAGAAAGCATTTAAAATAGACAACCAAGCATAAGCTTGGTTTGTAGTGATCTTCATCAGATCACTTGAGGGTCCCTGAGCCACAGCCTCCCAAGAAGCCTTGAGCACCTCTTACAGAAGCTTTTGTATGACTCCTAATCTACACCACTGCCCAAGGGCCTCCTCAACTCAGCTCTCTGGGTGCAAATTAGTCTCCTACATCTCAACCATAAAAGCTACATTTCCTTTGCAAGGTGTTCTTCCAACTCTGTCTCTTATTTATAGTTCCAACCAGGGGCAGCATTTGGGGCTAGCACATGAGTTTTAGGGTTAGGTAGACTGGGGTTTGAATTCTACCTCAGCCACGAAGTTATGTTAGATTTTAATAACTTTGAACCTCAATTTCTCCATCATTAAAACTAGGTAATGATTTCCTTTCATTCAAATTGTTTGATGATTAAAATGGTAATATATAAACCACCTGGTGCATGATGATACTCTTCTGTCCTTCCTGTCCTTGCCACATCATCATTACCATGAAAAAGGATGGGAAGGCACTGCTTCTAAAATGCCAAGACTTCCATTGTAGTCTGAGAACTAGTTCACATCTGAGTATTTGATAAGGACCCATGGCTGTCTAGCATGGTGGCTCAATCCAGACTTCTGTTCAACCAGATCCATAGGGGCTTAGTTTGTTAAATAAACCACATCAGGTTTTTTTTTAAGCCTTCCATTCTATAGGCACCACATATCTTCTTTTTAATTCCTCTATAGATAGAATCCAGAAGCAGAACTAAATGTATAGATTCTTAAAATAAGGGCCTCTTTATATCAATTACAGAGAAATTATGGGCCAAGAGATATTACGGTAGAATCAAAAGATCTTTAAAAAAATCAAAGAATAACTCCAAAACATATTTAATATTTTTATTTCTACTTAATAAATGTATAGTACTAGTTTTATAGACTATAATGGAGAACTCTCAGTGCCCATAATATAAGCAGACTGACAGCTTTAGTCTTCTCCCCTATCCACTCCCCCCCTTCCCCCCCCCACCCGCCCCATTCAGGGGAGGGAAGCCTTTTTGAGCTATAAATGAAATTGTTATAAGGAAGAGGAGAATGCCCTTGGTAAGTTTAGGGAGAGCCTACTGAAATCCAAAATATGTAAAGTTCCTCTATAAGAATACTAATTGCAAATTACTATGGGTAACCCATTCATATCTAGATGTTTGAGACCTACCACCAAGAAAATGTTCTGAGATTGAGCACACAGAAAACAGAAGTGCTGGACCTCAGGGCAAACTGAGCCTTAGAAATGGATCAGAATACTGCAACTGTTATTATAGGAATGTCCACCCCCCATCCCCACAATCTCAAGAACTAGTGATTAGCAATCTGAAGCACACAAAGCCTGTGGCTGAAACCATATGATAAAAGAAATACTGAACTTTTTAGGAGGCTCCTCCCTCCCTCCATTAGTTTTCATCTATTTATTTATTT